TCTATTCACATGTGTATATTTTTGTCACTGTATCATATGTACGTTTTTTTTCTGTTATTGTCCTAAGGGATAAGTTTGTCCATGGTAAATAACCATGAGGACGCATCACACACATTATTCATGTAATCCCATATTATATGCTATATGAGTATAAAAAGAGTGGCAAGATAAACTGAGACGAACATCATCTCTGTAGTCTTACAAAAACAAACAAATAATAGTATTTTAATATTATGTGAAGTACAATGAATGAAAGAATACACTTTAGATAAAGATAGCTTGTAGAAAAGAAAAAAACAAAACGATACATACTAAATTCTCTACGAATCATCATTCGTGAGAATTTTAATAACGATAGGTAAAACTTGGTCGAATAGGGATGGATTACAAGATGACAGTAGATTTCATATACTGTTTGATACTCTTCCTTGACTTACAACTTTGTGCTTTTCTTTTCTCCAGAGCAGAATTCAGGAAATACTCATTTAAGAATAACAGATATAGCCTTTGATGGATAAAATCAGCAATGACCGAAGAATTATTACGAAGAACGGTAGGTTATCCTTTCGTGAAATGTATCCGTGTGATTAGTCCTATTGACTTATAAGTTGGAAGGTTAATTAGTTATCTTATGATTTGTAAAATCGTGCCATCTATGTAAAATGTAAAATGTTTTTCGATTTTATTCTTCCAGTTGTTCTTTTTTTAGTATTAGATAAGAATGGCTAAATACTCAAAATAGATTGAGAGCATGAACGAATATATGCATAATATACTTTATAGTAGATTTCCTTGGCTATCATACAACTGAACGATAACTGTTTAAACACTGCAATGCGTTTATGAACTTTTGACTTGATGCTCTTATATCAAGAATAACACCAAGACATTTTGATTTCAGAACTTGTTCAATGATGTTACCTTCTCAATAAATAAGATGACTAGTCGGTTATATTTACGGATAAAAAACAGTCTAGAAAGGTTTTTTCGAAACTCAAGTATTGTTTTCATGTCATACAGGAATAATAAAGATCCTTGTGGCAAGATCATCCGCAAACAAATGTTTAAAATGGAAGCTGATATATGATAGTGAAAGACGATGAACAACACTGAACCTATTCATGAATCTTGAAGTACATTGTTGAATAACGAAAAGCAATTGAATTTACATCCTTTGATTTCTATATAAGCTCAACGCTCGAATAAAGAATTTCGTAATAATGCGATGATGTATGGAGCATAGTTCAAACACTTAAGCTTAACTTAGAGTTCCTTCAGCGACATTCGGTTAAAAGATGATTTAAAATCGATGAACAGTGCAACTGTAATTGTATGTCACGAATCCTTTTCTATTGTGATTTATAACTGATACAATTATAGTAGACATGCTTGTTCCGAACAGAAACCAGTCTGCTCATCTTGCAAGTTGCTAGCATTTAAAAAATATCTACAAAAATGTACAATGGATATTTGGATGTGGGTGTGGTTGTAGTGTTTGGGTGAGGGTATGGGTATTGTTCGTTGTGCTAACCCACACCCACTCATGCCCTCACTTGTCGAACTTTTCATTTAATGATAAACAAATCACATCATAAAAAGAAAACTGATTACACATTTTGTTACTTCAGTATTTTGTCTGCTTGCGGTCAACTATTCACAATAAATCGACGAACGCTTGCTCGGTTTGACAAATAATAGTTTCATAGTATACTGATTTATATTTGTAGATAATTGTGTCAGTCTCAGTGGCAATGATAATAAAGAAAAAACCGTACAGAAGAGTGTGGGGGTGGGGTTATAGATGGAACGAATATCCACATCCACACCACACCCATAATAAATTTTTTCAATATATAGGTTTGCTTATGCATTTTCTATATTATATGGATGTAGTATTAGATTTCTAACATACTTGATGATGACTACGTGAGCTGTAGTCGAAACTCATTGTATGCTGCTTTGAATCATTCTATTACAAGCACATCCACACCCGGATATATCAATCAAATTATTTATTATCACTGTTGTTGAAGAAGTGCTACCTAAGAAAATCTATGGATATACTCAAAAGTTGTAATATTTTTATTTTCAATGAAACATTGTCATTTACGAGAACCAATTCATCGAAAAACATTTTTAAAAAGAAAAAAGCTTCAATTCTGTTACCGAGGTTTCGTTAATTTCGTTTTAGTAATGTGTATAGTAAGAAGCAATGCATTTGTTAATCAATTATGTCCTTATTCTGCTCTTCGTCTCGTTAAGCTGTCACTAATTTGCAAAATTCAGTTCAGTTCTTGTCACTTCTACATAAGAAATGATTTTAATTTTTTTTGCCTTGTTCTCATTTTCGAACTGATATAAAAACAAATATGATTATTATGCATTTTTCCAACTAGGATGATCAAAATTGTAGAAACTTAGAACTACCCATTGATATAATTACCTTATGAAAAAGAAATGGATTTCTTTGGCTGATTAGCAGTAAAATGAAAACAAAACACATGGATCTTTTATTAAAAATCAATTATTGATACCATATATTGTAATATTTATAATTAAACTTAAGACAAAAAGATTATTTGTCATCTGAACAAGATGTGTGCTTTTTCAATACCCAACTTTAAATATACATGTTAATTTTGTCTAAATAATCTAATTTTGAAACTAAAGAAGAACAGAAATGAAAGAAGTCTGTTTTTATTGGAAGTTAAACAATAACGAAGAACCTCTTCTCATTCATTGAGCGAGCTAAAAATCAATCTGCACTTAAATAAACATGATAGAATCAGAAAATATATAAACTGATCATTGAAAATTTACATTTGTATTTACTACTTTCGTCTTTTATCACACTGAAGCAAACCATCAAATTATGACTTCTACATCATCTGACTCGAATGATGCTATTTGCTTAACATCTGCTTTTGATTTTACTGCTATATCACATACACAGGGTGTGGGTGTTGGTTTATGTTTGGATACCTACACCCACACTTCTCTTAGAAAAAGCATTTTTTTATTCATATTTTCTAGGGATGCCGGCTCAACATTTGCATTACTTTAAGTTAATACTTTTTCAAATACTTTTGTATTCGTGTTAAAAAAATACTTTCAGAGTAAAACCAAAGTAACCTACGATGCAAAAGTAATGTCACAAATGTTGAGCTCTGTTTCTCTTCGATAAAAATGTGCTGAACGAAAACGTTTTTTACCAACAAATAAAACTATTTCTTCTCTTTCGAAACGTATATAACTTATTTTTATAACACGTTTATAAACAAAACGACGCAACAGAAAAGAGAAGCACCCTTAAAATGAATCCACACTTTTCGAGAGATTCAGAAAAACGATGCAAAATATGGATTCCTATATGTCATCGATAAATAGGTTCTGAAAACAATATTTTCGTATCAGTTGATAGAAAATCTTTTTCTCTTCCGAACAGTATATGATTCATATTTTTTGCAAATTGATAAATAAAGTGAGACGAGAAAAAGAAGAAGCACTCATGCAATAAATTTTCAATTTTTATATGAAATGGTTAAAAACATGTTGTTTGACAATAATTAATTCGATTGTTTGAGAACCCAGTAAAAAGATCTTGTAAAATTATACTTACTTTGATTTCTATGAAATCGATAGAAACATATTGTAAAACCACAGTTTATAATAATGAGTTATCATCTGCAAAATGTTTTCAACAAGTTCGTATAAAAATTACAAATTTATTGCGTGAATGCTTCTTGTTTTTCTCGTCTCGCTTCATTTATCAATATGTGACAGATATAAATCATATACTGTTCGAAAGAAAAGAAAATTTTTTATCAAATGATAAAAAAAAATGTTCTTTTCAGAATTTGTTTATCGGAGAGAAATAAGGATCCACATTTTATGTGGTCTTTTCGTAGAAAAGTATAGACTCTTTTCAAGTATACTTCTCTTTTCTGTTGCGTCATTCCGTTTATGAATATGCTACCAAAATAAGTCACATACGTTTCGAAAGAGGAAAAAAAGCTCTATTGTTTCGTAATAAAAAGTTTTCGCTCACCATTCTTTTATCAAAGAGAAACAGGTACCGACATTTGTGACATTAATTTTGCATCATACGTTATTTGAGTACGTTTTTAAACTATGATACAAAATTATCAGCAGTTTTTAAATACTAATCTTAAGTAAAAGTCTCTAATATTTTCGAAAGAAATTTAAAATTTGATTAAATGCATAGTGTTGCTAGTTCAGATCATGTTTGTATGAAAAAAAAACTCTTCTAGTCTCTTTGTTTTTCTCAATAATAAATTTATACACTGGTAGAAAATATGACCAAAAATGATTCAATAGAATACATAATAAGTCGGTATATTGGTAAGTGAAATAAAGAGCTAAGAAACAACAAATATTGATTTAGCACCTCAGTCATCAACAAAGTGTTTTTTTTTCTTAAATTTTCTTCCATAAAAAGCTAAAAAACAGCACATTAATATGATTTTCTTCGTGTAATTTACGGTGTTATTTTGAAAAACATATGTTGATTTAGTATGCATAAATTTGATAGAAGAACAAGAAAATTCGAAATTGATACTCTGCAATATGAACTCACATCGTTCATATTACATTACGATAGGTAGATACCCTTACAAATTGTCTGTACCATGTAGATCAAAGAATATACTTTAGGTCTATTTTATACTATTTCCTGTATTTTTTCTTCAGAATTTCTTTTTTGTGACGTTTTTTTTCTATCCACCAAATTTACACTATTGATTGATGTTACCATTAATCTTCTTTCGCTGTTATTTTGTTTTTTCTTCATACCTAATGTCAGTTACTGGCAGAAGACAGTATACAATAAGTTTTATGCTAATAAAAAACATATATATATAGGTAAATTTGCTATTCTTTTTTATTCTGTTAAAATTTTAAAAAAATACACATTACAATCACTTGATTTCATCAATTAACGAATTAAGTGAACTCTTATTCGTTTAGTATTTTATTTGATAATGGCAACACAACGATATGAATTTCAAGTTGAGGAAATTCTTCGCCGAAACCGTTCTTTTCAAATCGTTGAAGCTAAATATCAATACCAAGAATGTAACGGTAACGATGAAGAACGTGTTTATGGTGCAAAGGTATCACGTCAAGCTTATGAAGAATTAGCAGCTAAAATCTCAAAACCAACATTGCCATTTGATAAATTTATCAAAGTATTAAGACCACTCATGATGGGTGCATATGCAGCTGCTGATATACCTGGTGCATTTTATCTCTTAGATAGGAATAATACAGGTACAGTTGATATTAGTGAAATTGCTGCTTTTATTCCTATTATTGTGACTGGTGCAAGTCCACACATGCTTCTTGATATTATTCAAAAAGTAAATCAAAATCGTGATTATAAGCTGAATTTAGCTGAATTTACTAATCTCATCAAAAAAGGCATTGGGCGAGAAATTGCCATTGGGTATATATAAAATTAATTATTTGTAAAAGCAATTGTTTTTCTTTATGAAATTATAACGTTCATTACTTAATCACATTAATCAATAAAACTTATATATGCATATTCAAATAAGACATTAAAAAATATGTCATTATCAAGTAGAGAATCAGTGTAGAGATGATGTTTGATTAATATACAAATAAAAATATGTTGATGCGTTGTGGATGTTGATCTTCTCTTGCAAGATCTACGCTCAGGCCATTTTCTGTATTTTTGACTTCAATATACGTATAAATGTTTTTGCATTTTAATTAGATTCTCTCCATTTGATGTTTTCTTCCATGTTATGATGATAAATAGATAATGAGTTCAAGTTCATCTTATTCAAAGTAATAATTATCTTTAATAAGCTCTATAAATGATAACTATTTGACAGTAAAGCCTCGAGATGCTAGTTTTATTGTAATTTTTATAAGCAAAGTTGTATTTCATTTTTTTCAATTAAAAATACTTCAAATTTGAATCTGACGGTTCTTGAATTTAGATTTTATGTTCGAAAATGACAAAGGAAAGTGTCACTGATTGTATTATATAAAGATTTCTGTAAGAACAGACACTCTCGATAAAACTTATATTTCGGGTACAAGTAAGAAGAATTTGAGTGCCGCATTTACAGATATGAAAATGTGATGTACCAGAAAACACCAGGATATATCACGATTGATTTTTGCAAGCATTCAAAGGGTAGAACTATGCAGCAATTTGTCATATACAAACTTAAAAGCACGAAATCCTATAGTCAGTCCAGAGAAGAGAAGAAAAGAGTAAGGTTATCTTGAGGCACATTGATATTACAATGGAAAAAAGTCTCGAATATAAGTACTTCATTGTTATCTTTGGGAATCTTGTGAAATTGATATAGATAAAAAATCTTCATTTGTTTTTTAGTAAGATCCAAGAGAGTGTCAAGGTGAGCATCTATTACAAGAATTCTCATATTAATTCAAAAATTTCATTGATCTTATAGTTTTTTTTTCTGCATGGCAATTCTTGACATGTGAAGTTCTTTATTAGTGCATCAAATCAGTTTGAAGTCTATCAAACTTTTCTTCAACTCTTTACATTGATATCATTGACACATTCGATTAAATGTTGATTATTTTCAATCCAAGATATTAGTTTTCAGTGTCACTGAGAAAATAAGAGGTAACTTGTGATTTAATACACACGAGAAGTCGAATCCTTGAAATTTCGAGACTAACTCTAAAACAAATCTGATCTCCATGGAACTTCGTGAAAAAGAATTGCAGTACCAATGATTCTGAAGAATTTATTTGAATTATCGAAGCTCCAGTATGTACTGCTACTTGTTATTTCTTGTTGAATGAAACAAGAAATGGTAACACAACATAATAATTATTATGTTTCTAATTCGAAAATGTATGTGTCCTTCATTCTAAAGAATTATAATTTATTTCAACGCTTTCTTTTTTAAAAGTATCACGATGATCCTCTGAAGGGTGTGGATGAAGTGACCATAAACAGACACTCACACCCACGCCGTAAATAATATTCTTAAGCGATTTTGATTGAATCAAAACTACTGTAGATCCAGCAGAAACTAATGCAGTCAACTATGGAATTTTTTCAATTTGATATTCATTCAATGTTAAAAGTTGACCTGAACTAAAACGAAATGTTTTCGTTATTGTAGATGACTCATCAATATGATTATTCATTGAACATCGATTTTTAAACCTTGAAGATCATATTTGATTTTTGTTTTAATCGGTAAATGAATATTTCAAATTGACTAAGTGAATTCGGAAAAAAAAGAAGAATAAATGCAATGTCATACGGATTTTATTTTCAAATAACAATGCAACATGATTTATTTTGAATGTGTGGAAGATAAAAAGAAATTTGTTCTTATTTTGATATGAGTATTCAATAAATAATTAATAATTTATCGTTCTTATAATTTGAGGTACATATTGGAACTTTCGAAATGAGATCAACTAAACCCCTCCCCATAATAGAAGCCCCCGGGGACTTCTATTAATTCCGAAATTTTTTCAATAGTTTTAGATGTAAAAAAGATTCCAAAGAATTTCAAGGGTTATTAGGGTTTTTTAGAGTTTTCAAACAACTTTCCAGGAGGTTTTGAGATTATTACGCTGGCATATAAGAAAATTAAACAAATTTTTATCTTAAGATCTTGAATTTCGGCAGTTTTGCGGTGAAAATACCAATAAAATTTTTTAAAAAATTTGTAAAAATAAGGGGGCTTCTAATACGTCATTTATACAGATCCTTCGAGAGGAGGCTTCTAATAAGGAGGGGGCTTCTAATATGAGAGGGGCTTCTATTACGGGAGGGGGTTTAGTATGTTTTTTCCAACTTTCTCCATTCTCTTCACTTTTATTTTCCACTCCTGTGAATATAAGTTGGTATTGCTTAGAGTTGCATAGATGCAAATGATTGGCGTAGAACAGTGCACTAGTCAATCGAAAAGAAAAGACTCTTCTAATTAGATAGATACTATGCTGGGAATTATAAGAAAATGATTGTGTTGTTCATTTCGCTGCTTTAAATTTTTGTTTAATAGTAACATGAAAAATGATTCACAATTGTATTATAGAGACTCTTATCGTGATGCATGACGAAAGCAAACAGAAAAATGAAGAAAAATTCTCATTTGGTATCGTTTTATGACATGTAAGGAAGAAAATTTATGCAAGAAAACTCTTTTCTGCGGTGGATGTATATTTTAGTTTTTCTACTTTAATCGATTTTTCAGATCTTTTAAAAATACATTTTTTTCTCACAAGCTGTGTACTTTCTTATATTGTTGACAAAACGAAGATATTTAAAATCGAATAAAAAAGAATCCTACACGCCATAGTGCATATTTTCCCATAAATGTTCTGTTTTCTCAATGCAAAGAATATGCTGAAACGATGTGGGTGGGAGTGTGAATCTTGTCTCATCAGAATCTACACACTCACATCCAAACCCTTCTTAGTGAAGATTNGAATTATTTTTAAATTTATTTTCATATTTTTCATGGGATGAAGTCTTAATATCATTCTGGTCATTAAATAAACGTATTAATAATCTTATTTGTTCAATATTTGAAATAAATAAAAATGGAATTATTTTCAATAAACCAGGTTTATCTTATAAAAAGTTTTCTAAAATACTATTACCATTAATATTTAATTCCTTTTCTCTTTGTTCTTCTATTAAATATATTCATTTTGATGGGCTAAATTCAATTTATTTGAATTTAATTTATCAAGATATTTTTCCTCATAATGATAAATCAATTTGTTGTTTTCCTAATCTTAAATCACTTTATATAAGTCGATGTTTATTATCTCAATCATTAATTCAAACATTATCTTTTCTTATTCAATATCAATTAAATCAACTTACATTAACATTTGATGAAGATATATACGAAACATTTGGTTATGGACGCAAATTTTCATCAATCCTTTCTGATCGAGGTAATTAACAATTCATTTAACATACCTTTTATGAGAAAGATACGATTTTATTGTTTGGAAATAAAAGTCTCTCTACAATGGAGACGTAAAGATGAGAATGAGTCGCTAATTATCAGTAATGTTTCAGTCAAGATGAGATCCGAAAGCAGTAGTGTGACCCATTCCGACAGCTGGTGTTTGTCATATTGGAGTTGCGCATCATTGTCTTAAAAGCAGTAACTTGCACAAAATATCAATTATCAGGTGCTTATTGAATGCATAATTATATGAAAAACATATGTTGAGCAATTGTTTTGATGATATCAACTATCTTTATGAAGAAAGCAAAATCGATCATCGTCAAAGGTCGCTTATTCTAAAATGTCATTGGTAGATCTAGTTGGGTTTATAAAAAGATAATAGATTACTTAAAATGATTTATATGTTGAATAATAATTATTTTGATCTTGTTTAAAAATAAATTTCAATAATTACGAAAAAGCTGTTTGAACAATTTCTGTAGGAATTACTATGTGACACACGAAATAACTGTTACTAATAGAAAAGCATGTATAGCAAATCAATTTTAGTCACTTGAGTATAAATTCGATACTCTCTTCCAATTATCAGTTCATAATAAATCAATATTTTCCTAAAAGTTGTTAGTTTGCATATATGCTCCTGAGTTTCCCTTTTAGTAATTTATAAAATATTCAATAAGTTTCACTTTTGAGATTATGTTTGTCCCAGTCTATAATAGAGCGTTGCTATGATGTCTGACATGATCTTGATGGGAGGAGAACGTTGCTAAGATGTCTATCAGGGTCTGTGGAAGGAGAAGGTTGGGTTCAAATTTTTAACCCTATACTTCAACATCCCTTCTAGTTCATATTTTACAAAAGATATTTTACTATTTTTATAATTATTTCAGTTTGCTAGAATATATTATCCGATTTCTGTTATTTTGACACTAATAGCTATACAAACATATTCAAAGACTTCGTTCACTTATCTATATAAATTTTCTCTTTTGCTAGTAAATATCCATTACTAGCGAAGCCCCGTGCATACTGCACGGCTGTTTTCTCCTTTGACATATGACCTCAGACGTTTAACTTATCATCCGGTAACAGACATACAGACACCCAATATTATGCATATAGATGGATGGCCCTACGACCTCATACTCTTATGTCGCACATATTAATCATTAATTTCTTTGCTAATTATAATATCTATTTGTATATTTCTATAAAGAATTATCTGCTTTATGATTAATACAAAGGAGAAACAGATTTGTTTTATTATTTTTCTATTTTTGTGTTTTGGTAGCATTTACAAATAGAAAACAGTATCGTTGGCAATCTATTCCTATTAAGTGAATAAAAAGATTACATTTGAAATGTTCAAATGATACGAATGACTTTTGTTTTTTTTTCTTCTTTTATGATTAAATAGAAAATATAAAAAGTATGTTTAAACAAATGTTATGTCAAATATTTTCTAATCAATGTCAATTAACTTCTCTTCAACTCAATATAGCCAATTTGTCTTATGAAATTCATCAAAGTTTAAATTCACATGATTATCTTTTAGCAAACAAAATTTCTAATGAATCTCAATCTTACTGTATAGCTCTACGTTGTTTGTTTATTCATCTCGATTATGCTTGTTTTCTTGAACATATCATTGAATATGTGCCCAATCTCGAACAACTATCGGTTTATTTTCGCAATTCATTAATTGATAAGTATCGTCTTGATTCAAATATTCAAATACCGCAACTATCAAATGAAAATTGGTTTAATAAAGTAAGATCTATATTAGATTATTCTACTTGTTTGTTCTTTGTAAAACTGTTTAGTTAACTTTTATCTCATACGTAAATGTTAGTTCATATTAAGCTTGTTTTTGCATTTAAACAATGTGCCAAGGGTTGTACTATGAATAATGTTACTCTAATCGAGACAACGAGTTTGTTATTAAATTAAGTAGTTTTGTAAGGAAAGCGTAGATTCTCTTTGGTGACATCATAAACGAGTAATATGAAAAGTACATGATTGTTAAATGATGCCAGTACGAAAAGAGTAGAAGTTTGAACAGATTTTTGCACATTTCATCAATTAATCGTCAAAAGACGATAAAATTCATTCTCTAATAATTCATTATATTGATAAACAGAGAAAGATAAAGAAAAACATCGAATCCTCTGATCAACGGACAATCAAGTAAAGAACATGATGTAATTTTAGTTAAATGATATATTTTCTAGCACGTTTTTATTATCAATGTAAGAAAGAAATAAGCTAATTGAGATTTCAGAACTCATAGTGGATTGAAATGAATATTTTTGGATCCTCTTAGATTCCGATAGATCCTGGAATCCTTATGTATCTATTATTTAAATTTGAGCCTAAAAAAGTAAACAATTTTTGATAGAAGACTGCCTATAATATTCGAGTTTCTTGTAGGAGAAAAAAGTCAATTGTTGGTAACTTTTCTACAACTCGTACATACTCAAGTAGAAGACGATATGAGAAGAAATTCTTGCGTCATATTTTTCAATTTGTTAATTAGTTTATTTAGATTCTAATCGATCCTGATAGATTTGCATCTGTTGAAAGGCAAAAAATAAAGTAATATTTCATCCAATTCATATATAAAGTGCCTGGTACTGTTGAAAGATCTATGAAGTTCAATAAAGGATAATTATGACATCGATGAAGTAAAAGTAAAATTGTGCTTTTCCTTCGTTGAACGATTGTCTGTTAGAAATAGGTTTTTTTTATGTTAGTTTTCATAAAGATGAACGAGATATTTGAGTTTTTTAAGATCTGCATTAACAAGTTTATCATTAGAATTATCTTTTCATAATAAAAATCGACTTTTTTTTTGGATTTTGTTAAGAAGTGATTGTTCTATAAATTTATCAATTTTTTGCCAATGATAAAAAACTCGGGTTCTTTCTTAGTGAATTTCTAGTTACGCTAAATTGAGAATTAAAAAAAAATGTAAACAAAAGAAAAATAAAAAAAGAACGTTTGTATGTCAATTCGACTGATTAATCAGATAGTCAATTTCGATATAAGTAAGGGTAAATCGAATGTTAGATTAACAAAATGGAGCTTTTTAAGTGATCTCTAAGAGAAAAGCATTGCATAAATAAAGTGATGCGTTTCGATGATTTCGTTTGACATTAGAGATATCCAATTGGGATAATTATTGAAAATTGTTCGACTAGAGTAAAGAAGAATATTTTGTTTATTTATTTAATAGATGAGTTATTGAATAAAAGAAGAGAATAAAGTAGTAATATAAATAGATCATTTTCAACAATTGCCTTCTTATTTTACTTGTTGAATAAAGTTGAAGTTTTAAAATTGTCATTAATTATTTGTAAAATAGGTACCAAGATTGGAAAGCTTTACATTGAAAAGTTGTGTTCATACTGATTTTGAATTTACTTATTTAAAATGGCTTCTGAATAATTTAAATCACATTACAAAACTAGAGATTTATTTACATAGTATACGTATATGGAAAACAGATCAATTAATGTTCGAATCTGTTATTGATGCAAATTTTATTCGTCAATATTGTTTACCTGATCAAATAATTAATTTAAAATATTTTTATTTTTATATTTATGCAGAACGTCAATCGCCATTAAATAATATTTCTAAAATAGTTAATTCTTTTAAAATAAATTCTTTTTTTATTGATCATCAATGGACAAATGTTCAATGTTTTTATGATGAAAAGACCACATATCAACATATATTCTCTTCTAATCTTAAGAAATTTCAAAATTCTATTGTCTTATTGTAAGAGATTTTTTTCTTTAATTATGAAAAATTTTGTTAGGAAATTATTTTCTTGTTTATTAAGTAATCGTCAATGTATATATGATTGGTCTGATGTCACACATAGTCAGGATATTCATCCATCATTTTCTTTATTTCTGAAACAATTTAATGAATTATGTCCTAATGTTTCTTCTATGAGAATTAATATAGGTAAATATTTTTTCCAATATATTTCTCACTGATCTTCGCAAACTTAATGATCAATGAAAAAATAAATAAGTGATCAAGTTCAATGAATAATAATTACATACTTTCATTCATTCTTAATGTTATTCTACTCGAAGATCTAATCAGTTGATATAGCTCGAAATTGTGCATTTATAAAAGTTCACTTTCATTGATTATAGTTAAAGTAACTAAACATGACAATATAAATATCGTTTCTTGTTATTTACGTTCACCTAATTTTTTTTTTCAAAACATTCATTCATTTCTTCATACATTAGGTTTTTTATTATTTTTGGATGAAAAGATATCTCAGCGGACAGAAGAATTCTTCATAAATAGAACTTTTTCTAGTCCAAATCAGACGCGATAGTTTTTTCAATAGTTTAATACCAACTGAGCTCGACACTTGATAAACTTGTATTTCATTTCATGTCATGCAAAAAAATGTCCAGTTTAATTTCGTTGAATATAATTATAAAAAAAGAGATAACTTGAAACAACATAGAAAAACAGAATGAATCAAGTGCTAGAAAATTTAGTTGCATTGTCATGATCTAAAAAATATGCCAATTCCAAATAAATCTAAATTCTTGTTTGTTTATTCTTCATTTTTCACGATTAGTTGTTCCTTCGAAGAGACGTTTTATTGATTAATTTTGAAACAGTTTGTCTATCTGATCGTAGGAAAATGAAGAATTATTCATGTGCCGATATTAAGCTTGTCACAATCTTTTTAATCATCTATATTAATCTTTTCTCTCTAGAATAATCAATTGTAAGGAGGTAATGACGGTAGAGTTAAGAGGTAATGACAGAATAATGTTATAATTGTGTATATGTACCTCAATATTTTTTCTAACAATAAATATTCATTTATTGAGATAGATAACTTTATTTGTCATACATTTGATTACTTCTACAAAAAGTTCATCATCATTAGAAATATATTCCTGTTTATATAATTTTTTTCCGACATATATTCGATTGTTAAGATTTGAAGAAACTATACTATCACTTTTATTTTTCTATTTAACTATTAACTTGAGTAATAAATGGGCGAATCTACGAGCTTTCTACCATAATTCGGAAAAAGATTTTTAATTTTGATAATCTAGTTCATATAATGCCTTTCTTGAGTTTTCAGAAAATTCAAATGAATTGCCGAAACAACCATACATTCTATACTCATGATTTTTTCTTAAAGGTAATGGAGATACACAAGGTAATAGAAATATTGGAGACACATGGGCTAAGGCGTTACGAAATTTTACATTCTCGTTTGCACATTCAGAACGCCTCTGGCCAGAAAAGGGAGTGGCGAGGTCGTGATACACGCTCTTATACACATTCAGAGGCTATTTCGACAGCTAAGGGTGTCACCAGGTCTTGGCACACGTCTTTACATACTTAGAGAGCATTTCGCCAGATAAAAGTACCACGAGACTAGGCCTCTACCCTACAGTGCCCTGTCAAAGCAGGTTACGAGAGTCGCAGAGCCAGGTTATAAGTCTTTTTACAGGTTAAGTTGCAGGTTACGGAGGTCAGAACCTGTTAACCTGCGATAGAAATGGTATCGGCAACATGTTTAGAAGATTCCAAAAAGCATAGATTTATCTCAGAACCAACAAAATAATGGATCGGCGGTTAATGCATTGACCGATTGAACACCGAAAATAGCTATAATTCAAGATCTTCACAGACAAGCAAAATCATCGATTAATCTATATAGAAGCCGAACTAAAGCTCTTCCTGTCTGGTCTGTAATAGAGATACTACCAAATCGAGAAGTGTTTTTCGAGCAAAAACAGTTTTTTCAGGCCTTGTTGTGTCCTAAATACATATATACTGACTTCGAATGGGTTCCACATCGATAAGTTCTGCTGTATCCGATTTATTTCTAGTTACTCTTCGTCGATAGTGGTAACATGGCAACTGAATTCATAGAAAAAAATCTTAGATTAAACTATGGAAGAAAATTTCTTTAATTACAAAGCAAGGCAGGTTACAGATTATGACAAAAAAGGTACAAGGTAGTACAGGACAGGTTAAGGTGAAAATTCTTCAGGGTATGGTAGAGCTAAATTACCAAAACTTTTAGAGAACAGGTTACAAAAATATCGTACCGTATAGGGCTCTACGCACATTCAGAAGTCATCAAGCCAGGGAGAGTGCGAGTGGAGCTCGTGGAAATGAATTGTAATTTACTTGTTTGCCTGAATAAGGGTGTAGAAATTTGAGTTATTGAAATATAAATTCAATCTTTACTGAGAGCATTGAGGGTATGTGTACGTCTACTTAAAGTTGTGAGAAAGGTATTTTCTGATAGAATATTTGGAAGTTTGCGCTAGATTGTTTTTGTAGTTTTGTTCATGGATAGTAGGCTTATATCATGGAAGCATGATGAAGATAATAAAAATGTTTGGTCGTTCTAGGTAGATTTTAATATTTATTGGTCAATGGATAAAGTAATAGTCTGGAATAATGGAAAAGTGTAAACGAAGTGTGAAATTATTGTGCATGAATAAAAAACATTCGATATTTGTGATCTTTGATGAATTCTTTCGATTGGAATGAAAAATGAGCGATATTTATTTCACATGTGGCTGGTACGAATGTCAGAGTTAAGATTTGAACTGAAAGATATGAGAGGATCAGATCCGTTTTAAGAATTGACTTCTTTAATATCTGCATCAACTCAACGAGTATTGAATTTTAGAGATATTGATGTTTTACAAACTTTGTGGATCACACGTAGAGAGTGTTATATTATAGTTGTTGTGATTGTTAGAACTTTCTTATCAGGGATTATTTTAGTTGAGTCAACTTCTTTATGTTTCCATTACCTGTATTAGGCCAATAGGAAACTGGGAAAATCTGACATTCAAAAATATAAAGAAAACTCGAATAAGTTTTGGGAAATTCAAATAAAGTATCTAATCTTCTAGTTAAATGTATCATTGTCGAAAACTGTCAGAGGTGATAATCAAAAGCTTTTTTTTCTGTTACATAAAGTTTGGAGATCTATGCCATTTTTTAGAAATAATTCCATGTATCACATTGCAGAATGATAACATTATCCGTGTTTGTAGAACTTTTCATTCTAAACATTTTGATAAAAAGAAATTTTCAAAAAGCTTTTGTTTTGATGGAAACACACTCAAAATACTATAGGCAGCGAAAAACCAAAACTCTGAAAATTGATATTTTTACGTAATTTTGACAAATTGTAACTGCTACTTTTCTTCAAAGCTTATAATGATCAGAGTCTATCTCCATCAAAGCAAAACCTTTTTGAAAATTTCTTTTTATCAAAATGCTTAGAATTAAAAGCTCTACAAACACGGATAATTTAATGGAAATTCCATTGATATATTCAACGACAAATACATTGAATTTTTCCTCAAAAATAACATACTTTTTCAAACTGTATATACCAGAAAAAAGGGTTATATTATTAGTTTTGACGGTTTTCGACAATGATAAATCTAGCTTGAATATCAAAATCTAAAAATAACTTTTTCCAGAAATAGAAACATCATAGTTTCATCCAAATAGCAAGTATAACATTCTTTTTGAATCTGATTCGAAACGATGACTTTGTACTTTAATCCATGTTTGGACTATATCAATCTGACATGTAATCTACTCGATTACACGATTCTAGTAAATGTCTTCAAAGAACATTGATATTTTTTTATGTCGGGTTATTTTATTCAATTCAACAAAGTAATTAAACAGAGTTTGTTTTGATTCAATCGACATTTGTTTTTTTTTAGTAAAGTATCATAGAAACACAGCTAAATATTTTTGATTTAAAATGAATAAATTTGTTTTTCTATAGAACGTCTTCACCATCAATCAGAGATTCTGCAATGGTTGCCAAAACCATACGACATGAGACAACGAAATCTAAATACTATTCCACTTCGAAATGTTACAAAACTTAGATTTGGATATTTTTGTCGTCGTCGTATTGGTATGTAAAAATTATTTTTTTCTTTTCGAAAGTGATAAAAAAATCTAGTCAAATCTTTCTTTTTATTTGATAATCATGGCAATTGTATAGATCTTATACTCTTCAATTGCTCAAACTCATAAGAGAAAAAGCTGACTAATTAAAAGAAACAAACTATTGTTCCATAAGAAATAATAAAAGTGAATGTCTTCATTCTAGAAGATAACATAATATTTCTTTAAAACAAAACTAATTTCAGCCGAAAGTATTCAAATTAAAGATAGAATCGGTCTAGATTGTTGATGACTGGTAAAAGTTTTATCTCTGATTCAAATAGCGTAAGACATTTTCTAATATATGTTAATTCTTATTTTCAATTTACTCAAATATTTCTTAGATAATGTATTATTTTATTAATATAAAATAGTTTTGTTAGTAGAATATTTTGTGGAATTAAAATATAAGACATAATTCAATTGTTTATATTGTAAACGAACCTATTTAAGGATCACAGGAACTTTTAACGAAAGTTTCTTTCCTTATCCGACATTCGACTTGTCCATTCTCAGATCTGAGATTCGCCTAGACGAATCTGAGGTTGGACTGAATCCGAGATTGAACGCTGACATATATATTGCCATTTATGCAGATAGAAAAGAGATGATGTTGGTAAGATGTCTATCACGATCTACACAAGAAGAAGAGAAAATGACAAGATAAAGCGGATAGAAAATATAAGATAATATAATTTGTTGTGTATTTAATTACTCCATTTAAATTGCATATTACTAAAATATATTATTGTGAAATATAACCATAAAAGAAATTGATATTTTATTTTCAGCTACGAGTGAATTACAGATGAACATGGTCAATTACTGCTACCTAGTAACGGTAATTGATCACGGAAAGTACTGTTGAAATTATAAATGAAGTCGTACTTTTTTCTTCATTGCAGAACTATCAATCCTTCTTTATATTGCTGTTTAAAATTATATTTTCTTACTATAAATAAGAATTTTAAAAAAGATTTATTTTTCTAGCTCCTATGACATTTAGGTATCCAGATAGACCAAGTGCCGAAATACTTGCTTGTCTTATTTCAATGCCTGTTCAACTTAAATATCTTTTTGTTCAAAAATTTGAATGGCTTTTATTTGCTATTCAATATGTAAGTATTGATTTAATTTGAACTTTTCAAATATATAACTGATAAAGTCATCATTAAATATTTTAAAAATCTTATTATTTTGTTTGTTAGAATTTTTCAACTATCAACTAAATACGCACAAATATTTGTGTTCTAAGATTCTCTTTATATTAAATTGTTATCATAAGATATTTTAAGATATTATTTTTTCAATTACATTTTTTTTCTCTGATCTTATAATAATATCGAATAAGAAATAAATCTAACGACTTATGAGATGATTAGAAAATATAAATCGAATTCGATTTTATTTTACAAATCGATTTACTAAACTCTAAGTTAAATGTATATTTATTTAAAACAATAAAAATAACAATAAATTGAATAAAATAAAGTTTATTGAAAAAGAAATTTTATTTAATACAATAAAATAATTATTTCATATCATTTTCAGGGTTTTCACCACTTGAGAAAAAATGCATTAAATACTGTTCGATATGCTGAATTTAGTATTTCAAGTTGTAATATTGGTAATGATCATTCAATTCAGATTGGCAAATTTCTTGTACCTATTCTGAATACTTATATGCCGTATTTACAAACATTACGTCTTTGGAGACCAGATGATTTTCCTTGGACATCAAGTAAGTTTAGTTTTCAACTGAATACTATTAAGATATTTTCATTTTATAATGTTTTCAGAGTGAAGAAAAATTGATGTTTTATTGCTCAGGTCTTTTTATTAGATTTCGGAAGACTTCTAAACGCTTCATGAAACTATCGAGACTATATGGAGATTCATTCGACTTAATTTCTTTGGACTTCAGCAGACTTTGAGAAAACTTAGAAACCATATAAAATATAAATCTAAACTCATAATATGAACAAACAGCTTTTCAGTTATCGATAAACGAAGTTGATCGATTATCAGTTGATAAACTGTTTTGAGAGATAAAAACAAATAAAATTAATTAAAATTCATCATACAATTGATACTAAATTAATAGAACACTTCTCTACAGAAATAAACAATGTCATTAAGAAAGCATTGAATTGTCAACTAACGATAGGACATTTTTGAGTTGACATGAGCTTAAAATTTTTTTGCGGCATATTGACAAAGCAATAAAAGTTCACAAGATTTCTGTTAAAATAAGATCACTGAAAACAAGCAGTTACAGTGATAAATATCATAAAGAATATTGACTCAGAGAGCTCTAAGGTAACTTTATACGAAATTTTCTTTATGATATCCTGTTTTAAAATACCTTAAACAGTATCCGAATCATTCAATTTTGTAGAGAATTCTTCGTGAACTAAACTTATTCCAAAAGTTTTAGAAGACTTCATAAGACTTTAGAATCGAAGTTTACTGTTTCTTCATCATTATAAACTCGTCTTCAAAGATCTATAATTATTACAGAAAAGCTCTGTTTTATTTATTTCTTCGCTTCAAACACGTATTTCTTTCTTTCTATTGATGTTCCATCTATTAATTCTTTTGTTACTAAATTACTATTTATAAGCAGTAATTTAGTAACAAAAGAATTAATAGATTATTTGATTTTGAGTGCTCAAGAAGCAGCAAAATTTAAGATTAAATTTCTATTGATTATTCTCGTCGAACGACATCAATGAGTTGTACAAGAATGTATAGCTATAATGTGTGAAAAGTATAATCTAATGTTCATAAAACTTTTTTTCTTTTTGGACTGTTTGAACTTATTGAAAAAACGAATTGAAATCCTAGTCAAAGTAATTATGAAAATATATCAAATGACTTTTATTTCATTTAAAAACTTTTATTAAATAAGATTATTTCTTTTGAATGATTTTACAATAAAGATGAGTAAAACACGTTCTGATTACTAATTTTTTATTTGAAAAAAGAAAACGAAAAATCTTTTTTTCAATTTAGAAATGTTTCTTTAATATATATTCTTTTTTGACTTTTTTTTTATTTCTTTAAGTTCGACCGAGCTTTCAATCTGGAATGTCGTATACAAGGTGTTTGAGACAATGGAGACAAACTCTACGTACACCTAAATCTATCAGTATGGAATTGAAATATATTTATTTCTAGAAGAATAAAATTATTGTTATTTAGATGAACATGTTATTGTGTTTGAACAAGATCTTTGTCAATTATTCGAGCAATTAAAACAACTTGTTTATCTTGATATTTATGGCCAAATTGATCCTAAAAAAGTCAAACCTTATCACAAAATGGTTCAAAAACGGTTTCCAAATAGTCGAAATGATATTCAAATCTCAAGATTTTCTCTTTGGATTTAATTATTATTACCTATAATAGAACTATGCACTAAAGAAAATTATCATGTTTCTCTTTTTTCTTTGATGATTAATTTCATCAAGACTTTGTTTGTCTTTTTTTAAAAAACAAAAACAAAATTCATATTCATCTATAACAAGATTTTTTCTGAATAAATCTCACATATGTAACAGAATCTTTAATCAACAATCATATTAACAATAGAAACATCAATGGGTGGGGAGTGTTTTGAGCACCAAAAAAAAGACAATTGAGCACCAAATTAGTTAAGTGTGAAAAGAGCACCGAAAAATAAGACAAACGAGCACCAAATTTATTACCTGTGAAATGAGCACCAAAAAATAAGATAATTGAGCACCGAATGAAAAAAAACAATGTGAAAAAGATGAGTTATGTCTTAAACAGATAGAAATTATAGTATACACGTATACAATCANGTTATTGTTTCTCTTCGCTATTTACCACTGTTTCATTTAAGTGTGTTTTTTTTTGATCTTGTAAAGACGGTCAGGAGCGCGTCTGATCTGAGTGGGAGGGTGTGCCGATATTGATGACACGGTTCGATGATTCTCCTTCCTTCTCTGTCTGTTCTCTTGCCGTTGTTCTAATATATATCTCTCCTGTCTCTCTTCTATCTCTCTCCTATATATATGTGTGTTATGTATGAAGTTGTTACACTCTGGATATGTAAAGTAGCTAATAAACATCATTGCCAAGAGTGGCACAAGCTACTCGATCCAGTTTGTCGTTACAATATTAATTTAATTGGATTCATTTTCTTCTAAAAATTCTCTTGTTCTTTCTATTTATTTATATGAAATTCTTCGTACCTTTAACTTAATCTTGTTTGGCATTCTCAGAAAAGATTGAGATGAACCTAAACGAACCTCATATAAATAAGTAGAAAAAAAAACAAGAGGATTAACTCAATTAATGAGGCAATTAGAAGTTAGATTAGGCGCATCGTCACAAGGATGCGCTATGGAGGTGCGCTGGTGACTCGTGTTATGTCACTATTGGTGCGCCACAGCTAAGCGAGCGAGTTGACATGAACAGTTTTAACGATTATTTGTTTTTTTATTTGGATTCCTACATATAAATGCATTAAAACGCTTCAATTCATCCCTTATATAAGAAGAAACTCATTTTAACCACTTAAACTTTTTAATTCATCATATGAATGAGGTATAATGCGTTTTTTTCTCCAATTTTTTATTTGAATGTGTTGAAACACTATTTTTAGCGTTTACTCGTTTGCATGGAAATTGGAGAGAAATAAATTACGGCAACGAAACAGACCATACGAATCATGTAATTAGATGCATATTTGACAGTCAAAGTGCATAGTGAACACAGCCCAGAGAAGAATCATACATATCTAGATCGATTAATTCAATCTTGACTTAAATGAAGTGCAAAAACTGTATTCAACATCTCTCCAATTACATAAACTGAGAAGTTTACTCCAAGACTTCGAATAAATCAATGTTGTTGTAAGAAGACTCTGACATAAAGGCAAATAAAGCATCAATGCTTTGAACCCTATTTCCTGAACATCGTCAAAGACAAAAATAGAAGAAATCTAAGAAAGGCGGCAACTGAAAAAAGATATTTTAACATATTCTTGTTGTATTTTATGTTGTCATTAAGGTTCCTTTTATTTTTTCTTCATATTGTTTCATATCAACTATATTCATAATGAGACGATGTATTATCTTTGATTTGAAATGAAATAAATGAATCATTCATTTGTAAAGCGCAAAGTGTAGCATAATTTTTTCTACCAAGAGCGAATCATTCTCTTGCAAGAAGAGCATTCTCCTTCTTTTTTATTTTTTTCTAACAACAGCAACTACTACTCATTTGTTTCTATAGATCCAAAAACAAAGTACACAATTGTTATAAATTTTCATCTTTTTTTCCTGATTCTATCCATCCAGACAATACATTGACTCCAAAGAAGCATCGTCGGTTGAACATGGTTGAATTTATTTGATTCGAACTTGATAAAGCTGTCAAAGTTTGAGTCTCTAACAAGATGGACTTTCCTTCAATCATCGATCGAATATATATAATGGTTTGTTGTTTCACTTGTCTACTAGCCTTTGGTTCTCTGACGATGGTTATTATTTATAGAAAGCTATGTTTTAACTTTCATACTCTATTAGTTTGTAATACTGTTCTAGCCATTCTCATACTTTCGTCTGACCATCTAGCGATTGCTGTCTACATGCTAACATTTGATCAACAATCAGTACCAAAAGTTGATTCTCTTTGTTCATTACGTGCCTATATTCATTATTGTGGCATTGCTTGGGTTCATCATTCATTTATTTTACAAGCACTAGAAAAATATTTAACGATTCGAAGAATCAAGTTTCTTGATAATCAAACTCGAAAAATAGGCATCGTTCTTGTTCAATGGATATTTGATTTTACTTTAACTCTGCCTATTTTTCTAACAGGTAACATGGTGAAACTGACGATCGACAATTTATGTTTTATTTCATTATCAAGATTGGATCTTTTACTGTATACAGGCGCAATCATATATATTTTATCAGATATTGCTCTTGCTATTTTATATCGTTCTTTAGTAAGGTATGTACGTCAAGTCTCAA